ATATAAAGGAGTCTAAATTTGCTTTTGAACAATTTATTTGAATAAGGGTAGACAGATTTAGCCATGAACCCATCAGTGTAATAATGTTGAAATTAAATCCCAGTTTTGTAGAGAAATAGTATAATTACTGAAAGCCACAAAACTGGGTCAACTTAATAGTTTGGTTAGATGACATGCTTTCGTATCTTAGGCAAACTAATCCTGGAACCCCAGCTGCTGGAAACATCTGCTTCAGGGGTGAGGAGGGAAAAAAAGCAGTATGCCATCTTTACTAGCTGAAATACAAAGCTATAGTTTTCTATTTCACGGCACAGATTGTCATAAACCTCAAATACTCCTTTGCGATTTAGTTGTTTCCTAACTTTTTAGGAAAACAAACTTCTAAATCATTTGTTCATTTAAGTAAAATTCAAACAAATAACATTTTTTGAAAGCACTCATTTCACTTCCAACTCCTAACATATTGACTGTATAATTATTATGAAATTATAAACCACCCATTTTTGTCAACAAAATAGTCTGAAAAGGTAAAGAACAGCCTCAAACTGACTTAGATTTCAGAGAAATTCTCTTTTCTGAACAATGAAGAAAGAGTGTTAGAAATCTCAGTAGCATAGGATTTAAGAATAATGTAACAACATGTATTCATTTGCTGATATTCATCACAAGAAGTTCAAAGCAATTGTTGCAGTTAGATAATTGTTACACTCTCAAACAGAAGTAACACAAATATTTTTTTAACATGGAGACACTGCAATCTTATAGGAAAATCTAAGTCAAATTAAGTAACATGTATCACAGAAAACCCATTACTTTAATTTAAAGCATTGAATTACTTCTAGAAGTTGACTAGATTTGTGATGACTACTGAAATTTTTCTAAAAACTAATTAAGTAAAGGAGCACACAGATATGTTTCCAATTCATTTAATAGCACAGCTTCCAAAGGCATTTTCAATTAACAACATTTTCTTTAGATTTACTCAATTTGCTAAAGCTGGGTAAAGCTTTGAAAATAACATTAAATAGGAGACTGGTAAAATTATTTTCCATCTCTTTCATAAGAGATTTCTTTATCTTGCTGAAGAATTATTTTTCCAAAATATCATTGCTAAGAGCATAATGCCTGGAGTTATAGAGAGAATCAAAGTTATATTTTGCAAAAGTTAATGGGAAAAAATAACTGAATGGAGAGATACTGAGGGAGAGAAAAAGAGCAGGGGTGAAATGTATTTACTTTCTTAGTATCATTTCTAAGAAATACTTGAAATCTGTTCTCTAACACAAAGTTTAAAAATGAAATGAAAAGAGGAAAATCAACAAAATGCTGTAAAAATATTCAAGTGGTTATTATTTTCAGAAAAAGTGAACTTAGGGGAGTAGAGAAGTGACCTTGTTGGGTGGGATTTTCTTTGCAATTGTGATAAATTTAGACAAAGCACTTACACACTTTGTGGGGGGGAAAAATGAGTTTCTGATGATCTTATGAAAAGATCTGAATGGCGGCCCAGTGTTGTAGCCTAGTAGCTAAATTCCCTGAGATCCCATATGGGCGCTTGTTCATGTCCCAGCAGCCCCACTTCCCATCCAGCTCCCTGCTTGTGGCCTGGGAAAGCAGTTGAGGATGGCCCCAAACCTTGGGACCCTGTGCCTGTGGAGGAGATTGGAACGGAGCTCCTGGCTTCAGATTTGTTCATTTCTGGCCATTGCAGCCACTTGGGGAGTGAATCAGCAGATGGAAAAATATTCCTCTTTGTCTCTCCTTCTCTCTGTATATCTGATTTTCCAACAAAAATAAATCTTAAAAAAAAGAAATAAAAAAAGAATAGATATGAAAGTAACTGTAGACCTTCATTATTATCCTGTTCTTCCTGCCATTGAAAGAAGCCAAAGCAATGTGAGAAGTCACGCCTTCACAACTAGTGTCAGAATTTCCAAGGAAATCATCCAAACTGAGAAGGCATGATGCTGACTGACACTTCCTCTGCTGGCCCTTCCCAAGGAACTTAATTCTTCCTGTTTTGACATCAGTGTGAAACCAGCACAATTCTCTACCTATCTTCTGTGCACGCTTCTCTCCAAAGATGATGCTACTTTAGTGGGGGGAATAGAAGCAGCCATTCAGCCCACACACCTCACCAACGTAAAAAGCAACTTCACAACGTCCATGCAGTTTCTGAAGAAGACAGCATTGCTGTTAAGACTCATCCTTTCTCTTGCACACTAGAATCAAGGTTCTTTCTTCTTCTACAAGGAATTTGCTCTATCAGATATAACTTATATCTCAGAAGTGATCTTTGGGATATATCCTCAAATTTCACCAATTTTAAAACAAAATAAGTAAGTAATGAAAAATTATCTCAACACACACTAATTATCTTCTTCTGGATGTCAGATTCCATATCTTTTCTAAAAGGTCTCATCATCTTCTTTCATGAATGGCTAACTTTCGCTTATTTACAAATTACTTCTGGAAATCTCACCTTGCCTCCAAGCCTCCACTGCAATCCCCATGTGGGTTTTTGTTTTTTTTTTTGTTTGTTTGTTTTACTGTTATTATTTTTTATGGTCCAATTTGTGGGTATAAGGATTCCTTCCTGCCTCCCCCCTCCTCCCTCACCATTCCCTGCTTCTTCCATTTCTACCATATTATCACAGTAGTATAGTCCTTTAGAAGCAGTTACAAGTTTAACATTCTGCTACTTAAGTGTATCATGACATTGTAGGCATCAGCAAAGGTAAAATATTCAACATAATAGTGTCAAGTTATATTTAAGTGATTCATTCAGAGTCTTCCTTTTATCAAGGAATAGAGATGCAGCCTGCAATGTATCTTTACTTTTCAGTATGCAAGTCTCCACTGCACAGTTCATTGATGAAAATATATGCACACATTTCTTTACCTATACATTTTTTATTTTGCATGAAAGCTGTGTTTCTATAGCCCTGAGCATGCTGTGAAGGCCCCTTGGCGAGAGTGAATCATGGAGAACAGGTACACAGTAATACCCATCGAAGTGAATTGTCTTCCTTAGAATTTCTCAGCTGATGATGTTTCTCACTTCCTGCTTCATTGGCTATAAGACATTTCAATGTTTAAGTCATGATCAGACAAGCAGAAGTTAACTTCCATCAACTACAATTTCTCATCTTTGCAACTGTTTTTTCACATATTTTTATCTACATATTTTTATGAGCTCTAAGAAGTCATGAATCACCATCTCATTTGGGTCACTTATTAGATCGACCATCTCAAAAATTTTTGTCAATAAAACAAAGCAGAAGGCAAAGAGGGAAGAAATTTTGAACACAATGAAGAGGTCATAGTTGGACAAATCTTTGAATACACAGTAAAAATGGGGAAAAAAGCAAAGACTAGTCTAAAATTCCCACTTGATTAAATATAAACGTGGCCATTATCTGTCAAAAATTATCACTGTAGGATATCCATATGTTCATATTTTACAGACTCTCCAACAATACAAGCAGGTACTAATTAATGAATGAAACCTAACTTTTCTGCTTCTATCCAAATTATTGAAATCCACAGTTTTCATTTTGTATCAATTCTCTCCATTTATATCAAGAGGTAGTACTGATTCTCTTAATAAAAAGATAATTTACATTCCTTAGAGGAAAAGAAAAACTACACAAATAACAACACTAGCAGAGTGCATTTATTGTATCCTCACATAGCTAAATCATATATCTTTTAGCCACTCAAAGAGTTAAGCTGAAAAGATGCTGTTATTTTCATTTTACATTTGGGAAAAATGAAGTTCAGAGAGGTTAAGAGGTACAAGTGCCTTGGAGCTGTGAATAAATTGAAGAAGAAGGTGAGGTAAAAAGGAAAAAATATTAGATTTGCTCTTTTGAAAATGCTTCAGTGGGAAAAATTCAATCTTAATCAGCAACAACAAACACTTATTCAGCATTTACCTCATGGAGCCCTGCTCTGTCTTTTCTGTAATGAAAATTTTACCCAAAGAAAGAGTAGGCATTGCCTTACAGCGTCTCAAATGGCAATATCCCGGAGCACACTGGTCTTCAATATATTTACTCCTCAAACATTCTTAAATTCCAAGATAGCATGAAAGATAATTGTTAACTGAAACCTTTTAATCTAGCACTACTAAGTGACATCTGCTTTGCTTCATTTGATTTTGTTTGGTTAAGCAGATGATAGGGAAGGGGGTGTGCATATGTGTGCGCACACGCATGGGCACAGGTGCAGCTCACCTGAAGGCTCTTGCATACAACGTGCTGATGTCATCATGACATTGCCCTGGCTGCTGCAAGTGTATGTTCCTTTATTCTATTCTGCACCGCAAGGATTCCTCCATCCACTTTTGCTTCTTTTGTTTGTTGATTTTTCCTTCTTTGCTATTCTTTTCTGATGTTTAAATGCAGACATTGATTTGTCAATTTTACTGATCTTAGAGCAACATTTTCTGTTCATTTGTGACCTGGGGTGATTTAAGAAATGTCCATGCCAACTGATATTTAAAAGTGAATATTTCATGAAAAATATGGCCAGAGCTAATATGCTGTATTACAACAATAAAAAAAAAATACTTCATTCAAGCTGCATTCAAGTTGTGGTCATATGGAGAATTTTGATGCTTTTCCAGAGGAAAAAAATGTTAATATTTTATATACCAGGAAACAGAGAAGGAATTAAATAAGGGAAAATAGAATTTCATTTTTATAACATCTTTGCTTTGAGTATACAGTCTTGATTATACATGATTTATTGGATAGCAACTATATTTTAGTATCTAATAAGGAAGATCATTTATACAACTTCCAAACATAAATTTTGTCTAAAGAAAAATGGGAACTATTTTCCTCTCATATGCATTGCATTACGATTGGTTTCTAACATGATTTTTGAGGGGAGGCATGGGTGCGAGTGCGGGGATTGACAAAGGTACCCATTTCCTTTCACTGTTCCTTGAGAGGGCTAGCCATTGAGAGGCAAGAGATGTACAACAGACTTACCCACTCTTCTTCATCGTAGTCTGAATGATGTGGTATGGAGTCCTGCCTTTTCACTGGCGGGGGCTGCTCTCGGGGGCTGCTCTCCTCTTTACTTCCCTTAGGAGAGGGTGTCTTCTTCAGAATTCCCCCTGGTCTTGCAGTGTAAAGTGCTAGAAGAGCGCTTCTGACCAGTTGATCCTTGAAGGCATGTACAAAAAGCTCTGTCTAGAAAGAAATGAACAACATAAGAAACATCGTGGTAGGGACCTCAGTCTAGCGCTAACGAAACATTGACTGCAGATTTGTTGCTACATAAGGCACAAAATGTACAGGCACCAAAGAGAAAATGATTCATACTAATCAATGGACAATAGTTTGGCTCTGGATTGCTGCCACGGACTTGAGATTTTCTGTTTTAACGTTAATGCTGAGGATGTAAATGCAGTATAAGGGCATGGCACAACAGCCTAGAAGCTAAAGCCCTCGCTTCGCATGTGCTGGGTGGGATCCCATTTGGACGCTGGTTCCCATCCAGCTCCCTGCTTATGGCCTAGGAATGCAGTCAAAGATGGCCCAAAGCCTTGAGACCCTGCAAAAATGTGGAAGACCAGGAAAGAAGATCCTGGTTCCTGGCTTTGGATGGTCACAACTCCAGCAGTTGCAGCCACTTGGGGAGTGAATGATCAGACGGAAACTCTTCCTGTCTGTATATCTTACTTTGCAAGGAAAATTTAAAAAATAATAAAGGCAGTATAAATACCATCTGCTTTCTCAATCTTCTCTCTTTTCATTCCAAATCCTGTCTTTGGAGATGAATTTCCCTTGGTATGTTCGTGTGAACAATACCTAGCTGCTTCACCTTTTAAGTAAATCCAAACACACTTTAAAAGAAAATTTGATCAGTCTAAGTACATTTTATATTTTAAACAAGGTGAAGGCTACAGAAAAATAAAGATTTCAAACAATAGTCTGGACAACTCTTTTTGCATGATGGGCAGATCTCAATAGTATAAAGAGGAAGTCTCATCGGAAAAACACTTGGCTCCTACTCCTTGTCACCCTTGAAGTGGTTTCCTCCTCATTCATGTTCAGTGATAGCAAGGTTCTTGGGAAACTTTACATGGCACATTACAAGCTTGGGGTAAATACTTAGTAAGGACTGCAGTAATGGTGGATTCCCAAATAGAAAGGACATTACTGCTGTGGTTTGTGACTTCCTGATGAAATACTTAATAGCTTCACTCTGTTCCAGACTGGAGACTATGGTCATTTATTTTCTGTACTGTAGTACATTTAACATGTGTGTGGCCAAACAACATAGTCAAAGTAGAGAAACAGGTCAAGTACAGACTTATTTTGTTATAATTCACTAGGAATGGGTCATTTAAGACAGTGTTATTCTGAATAATAATTGATACCAAAATCAAATGCAAGGTTAATGTTACTCTTGCTGTAACACAATGAAGTTGCTACTGGGTGTACTCGCAAGGTGCTTGTTATCAGTGTCATATTTAACCACTGGTTAACAAATTATGCCTTAAATCTTCATGTGACTGTCAATAATAATAAAAAAATCAGTTAGAACTTGTGCAAAATAAATCTCTACTAAAATTGCATAGTTGCTATTTGAAATATTAGAAAATTCCATAGCTATGAAGCACCTTCAAGTTAAACTTTTGCTAACCAAATTAGAAAAAACAACAACAAAAAAAATTGTACTGAGATGCTACAGGGGGTTCCTTTTTGTAGGCACAGATGGAATAGGTCCATTTTCCAACAAAATCATTAGATATTTCCCCACTGATAATATCCACCATCAACCTGAAAGGCCCTGTCCTTTTTCCCCTTCTTGCTAAGTGTAAGGTTTCTTGCTATGAACAGTTCTCATTGATAAGTGTAGATAAAATTATCCCTGTAACTACCTCTGCCATAAGGCCTTATTAGAACATTCAAATATCCTGTTAGCATACTAGTCCCATCATGTCACTTCAATTTTTAAAATCCATTTTGAAGGTAAGGAAGCAAGAAATACAGAAAACAAAATATGAAAATAAAAGAGCATAAAATATTTTGGAATATATTAGACAAACAAAATTAAACTTTATGGTGGAAAGTGTCCAAGGAAAAACTCTTCTTTAATTTTTCCAGTGAATTGCTAATACAAGAATGGAAGATATAAAAGAATACAGACAGAAAAAATGGAAAGACAATATCCAAAAAATTCTGTCAATGTAGTCACATTAAAACTGAGAAACATGTTGCTTATACAATTTAATGTAGCATGGATGTGTCCACAATGTGATTTTAAATCTTAAAAAAATGTGAATTTACTCCTGTTTAGATTAACCAATGTATTTCTCTGTTGACACTGCAATATTTTTTTTTATTTATTTCAAGACAAAAGAGCTTGTGTTTGAATTTCTGCTACTATAGCACCAGTCCCCACAATATTCACATAATTACTATGTAGCTAAATATCTATTCACACCCAGTGAAATCTTCTAAAGTACTTGTAATAGCCATCATTTTCTTCTCATGTCATGCACATGCAAAAGTTTCATTTTGGTTATTTAAATCTCATTTGAATTGATTTAACACCAAATGCAAGAAAGATAATGCATTAGATTATCACCCAGAAAATTCTTTGGATAGCTAAAAATGAGGTGCAAACTTTCTTTGTATTCAATGTATCTATTTATGAGAGGAATTATGGGAGGGAGGGAAATGGAAGGGGAGAGGGAGAGACAAAGAAAGAGAGAGACAACGTAAACCAGGTCTCTCCACTGGTGGCGAGAACCCAATTCTTTAAGTAGTCACTGCTTCCTGCAACAGTCAGCATTAATGAAAAGCTGGAGCTGGGAGCCAGAGGTGGCTATCAAACATAAGAACTGTGATTTGGGATGTAGGTACCTTAGCCACTAGGTGAAACCCTCACACCACAAAAGTCTTAAATGCTATAATAGCTAATCTTTGTATCTATGTGGGCAAATGTATCTGACCTCTTGACTGTTCTCAGGATCACAAGGAATTTATCCATAAAATCACATTTTAAAAATCTAAGCATTTCATTGCAATATCCATGTGACCTGAGCAAACATTTGTTTTCTTGACCTGCATAAATTTCTATGTGTAAACCAAAGAACATCTTGGGTATTTTACAATCAAAATAAAATCAAACTTTTTTAGGCATCTAGACTATTGATTCAGATAGCTACATCCAATGCCAGTGTGCTTGGTTCAATCCCTGGTTCCAGCTCCTGACTCAAGCTTATGGCTAAGGCAGATACTGCAGAGCAGTGGTGATGAATCATGAGTTCTGGCCACCCACATAGAAGACCTAGATTGAGACTCCAGTTACCAACTTCAGGCCCCATCCAGTCTGGGCATATGGGGAAAGTACCAACCCATGTGATCTCTCTTTCTCTCTCTCTCTCTCCCTCTTTTAAACATCTTTAAAATATAAATCAAGCTTGAGGTGATGAATGCAGTCCTTTAACTCCAATGTATTTGTATATCACCATTCCTTCAGCTGAGACGAGGCCAGTAAGTCATAAAGAGGATATGCCTGTGTCTCTGTGTTTCCTACTCAGTATTCTAAAGATTTCTTTTCTTGGAAGCACCCTTAATGAAAATGACAGGCCGTCTAAATGTTAAATATATATACAAAACAATTCATTTAAAATTAAAGCGATAAAAGAATAACTCTATATTCAGAGGCAGAATTCTTTGATTTGTTTCAAATTTGAAATAAACAAAACACACACAATATAAAGAAAGACTATCTTAAATATGAAATATTTCCTAGATTTCTTGATGGCTTTCCAATTCCTTTTCTCATACAACTATTTTAGGAAACACACAAAACTATCCAACAAAAATGAAAATTATTAAAAATTACGTCTCTTTTGATTGATTGCAGATAATCCACTAGTTTCCTGAATTTTGATGGCAGAATACACAGAATAGGTTCATATTAAACCACTATTATTTTTACTAGAAATCTCAACTAAGAAAGCCAAGGCATTTTCTATTTAGAATCTCATTTTCTGTGAAAATAATTTAAACCAATGCCTATCTTCAATACAGGAGAACCCAATAACATAAAGAAATGATTATTAGTTTGGTAATCATCTATATGCAAAGAGAATCAAGTTTATATTGATATTGTATATGCTTTAATTTTTTATATAAAAATATTGCTCTGCTTTGCCATTAGTGCACTGATGTGTTTTCAACATGCCTAAAAGTACAATAGGGCTAACAGAAAGTTACCTGACTTACACATATTATCCACTTAGCCTTAGATTAATTACACCATTACATTTTGCAGTTTGTACAAAACTACAATACTTATCTGTTTGTGAAACTTTCATAGGAATTCATATTTACGCTCATCTTTCCTGACTTATTTTTTGAAGTTTCCTTTTTGACTTGTCACCTGCTCACTGACAATGTGGTAACTGAATCCAATTTACTTTAAATTATCTTATCAAGAGCCTTTTTTCATTGACAATGCAACCCATGCCTTCAGATTACACTGTTATCTTTACAGTCTGGTTGTTAAAATCCACCTCTAACAACTTTCTGTACCAGGTTTATTAACATTTTCCACTGTGAGTCCTTCTAGTTAAGAGGCACTCACCTGAACTCATTTTTACAATATATGAATTCTTAAATCAGGGAAATATGACTTTCCAGCAACTCAAAGATCAAATTTATGGATCAAATTCAGTAGTGTCTAACTGATGATTAGACATCAACTAACTGCATGCATGTACATTAATTCCAAGGATTGATCCTTGCATTATATTGCCATGCAAGTCCCCCTAAAGATCTTTTTCTGCATCCCAGTGGATACTCTCCACAGTATCGTTACTATTTCATTTAAGCTAATATTTGTTTCAAGATGTCATTATAAGGCTATCAAAAGGAGGCTAACCTTGTGGCATACAGCGTTAAGCTGCACCCTGGATGAGTAGATCCTAAATGCTATATCACTTATCCAGCTATGATCTCTGCTCATGCGTCATGAGTGACAGCAGAGGTTGGCCTCTGACACAGGAGGGACACAAGAACGAAGAGTGCTGAGCTCTTGTCCTCATCTTGGTTCGCCCTTTGCCATAATGATCTTTGGAGGAGTGAACCAACAGGTAGATCCCTCTCTGTCAATCTCTCTCAGTGTCACTCTGCCTTTTAAATAAAAAAAAGGTTATAAAAAGAACATA